ATGATATGAAAAAATGATAAAAAATTTACACATGAGACATAAGCATGGAAGAGATATATAGTTTGTGAGTAACAGGTTGATGGTACCAAAATATCCTACATAAGCCCGACCATATGTCACTAACACTTAAATTGCAGCATATTCCAAAATCCTTAAGTATAACAAAACATAAGATGTTATAAGTTATCCTACAAAATTCCCAAACACATTTCACTATCAATTAAAGAACCTATGAGACAACATACTGATGACAACTTTCCAATCCTACTACGGAAATGAATGTAGCTGACGAAACAGAATTACCTAGATGGACCAACAATCTTAAAAAACCTACCACTAATTATAAATGTAATAAAAGAAATTCTAAAATCTAAAATTCAGAATTAGTAAGTGCTTAAAAAAACATACAAAAATCTAATTAAATTTATTGTGCAGTTTATCTCTAAAATACAAACACAAACACAAACACAAACACGCTACATTATACACATAAATTGCACTGCACGCACGGATAGATCCCAATGCACACATTAGCGCACACACATTTCTTATCTTATGTGAAGAGTAAGCATCGAAAATAAGAACCCTACAAATACGCGAAAGTTCAGAAATTCATACCCGAACAAAGTTGTTTTTTCCTACTGCTTTTGTATGTTGAATCATCAGACAGTTGAAATGAATACAACCCGCAATGATACCAAATAGATCGGGAGTGCTGAGCTCGTAAGGGGTAAAAAAAAATATATTAATGAAAATGACCTCTAGAGAAAGCAATATGAAACGTCAAAAAGTATTGAATGTAATTATAGCAAAACGGTTGCTGAAACTTTTCATGGATATAAATTTCAAATACAATTTTATGTAGAAGGTTAATTTTATTGAACTAAAAACATTAAAAACTAAATTAAGAATAATGGTTATTTGACAAATGACTATGGTCAATTAAAAAGGTACATAAAAAAGTTGTTATTTTATTTTAGTCCCAATTTAACTTACCCGTTGTAACATGCTTTTATGACGTAAAGAAATTCCTAGTCATTGCATCTCCAACCAAAATGTCAGCACGAACATGAAACACCAATACCTTAAGAACACCATATGTGACAACATTTGCTTTATCTTCTTCCGATGGAAAAGCCTAAAGTTATTGGAAATAAGAACATTAAGCATATAGTCTTAGATACATCAACGAAAACTTTTATAATTTTATTTTCTTGTATAGTAATTTAATTCTTTTTTTTAATTAGTATATATTATCTCTTAAACTAACTGATTTGGTAGAGAAAGTATATTAAAAAATGCAGAAATAGTAAATTTTAATTTACCTTTGTGTAGATATCAACATCAGAGTCTGGTTTAACATGTTGTTGTCTCTCTCGTTGACAATTTAGCCAGCATCTTTGTTCAAAGAAAATAGGAGAAAAAATTATAACAGAGACCTTGCAAAATACGTTTATGCTCCCTGTCGCATAAATTATATCATAGATCAAAGTTATTAATGCTCAATCGAGAAACTATACAAAAACAAACTAAAAAAATACAAATTATTCAAGAAATAGAGCGAAAAACATGGCATACTAACTATGAAGAACCTAATTCTTTTCTGAAAAAGTAAAAAAAAAAAAAAAAAAAAAAAAACCAAATATAGCTGTTATGCTGCGATGGGCGATGAGAAATAAAAAAAAAACTCCCAGATGACCTGTAAATAGCTATTTGCAGCACCAAAAACTATCTAACTCTCAGTAAAAGAAATGATCATTCTTTGCATCATAATTTGATTGTTTATAGATTTTTATGACGCCCTGGATTATATTGTGTGAAATATAAAATATTAAATGACTGAAAAACTCAAAATTTGCAATAGAAAATTGTTTTTCCTTCACAATGTTTTTATCTATCCTTTGGAGACTACCAAATATCCCATCGTTGTGCTCAAGATACAAACCGGAGTACATTGAGTAAGTAGCAATATAAAAATTGCACATGCAACAAACAAATGAAACATGGAAAATTTAATTGCAATATCAGGGAAAAAAACATTGATCATACTGCAACATATTGAATGTAATCGAAAAAATATATTTTGTCGAAAGCAGCCTCAAGAAAAGATAGTTACCTCAAAAATTATTGCGTTAAAAAAAGCCTTCTCGAAGAGATGGTGCTATATATTGAGTAAATCTGTAGATCATGGAAGGATAATATTTGAACCACGAAGTTCCTCAAAGAACATACAGAATCTGAAAAAGAAAAAAAAATGAAGAAAATTTAAATATACAGTAATATAAATGCCATTTGCATACCTTGGTATGAACATAAGTTGCAATTGTTGCTTGTGTCGACATCTTAATAAATTATTACTTGTCTTGACAAACCTGCAAGAAAAACAAATACATTTAAAGAGCTTGAAATCTCAACATAATGAACACTATTGCAGATACTAAATTGTTTTTCATAACACATAACATAAATTTGAAAAACATGGTTAATAGAAATTATTTTTAAGCCTATCTCTTTGTGAAAAAAAGATAAGTTGTGAAGAAAAAATAAAACACTGGGTTAGATAATGCCAATAAGCAAGCAAAATACTTGAAGGAACCAATAAAATAGAATTGAAGCAAAACTAAGATATAATCATCTAAGAAATTCCAAATATTAAAATTTTAAGCAAATACGGGGTTATGTATTAAATATTTGTATTGTCATGTATTTCTTATCAACCCTGTAATTTGACATAACCTATAAACTAAGAATCCCGCCAATTGATATTCAGCAAAAAAAGAAATCAAAATTAAGAAGAAAATAACTGAAAATCCAAATTACGTTATATCCCCAAGTGAATCATGAAGAAGACAACTAAAAATTAAAGGAGGCATAAAAATCACACATTTACGCTAGGAACTTGACCGCCAAATTACCATAACAGCGCCCAATTTGATTGAAGAACAACAATGTTATTTGCTTCATCGTCAAGCATATGTGCTATGTCCAAATACATGTGCACAAATTTGCCAAAAAAAAAAAAAATAGGAACGAACACAACCCCCAATGAATTGTTTTTATGTCATCAATCAATTACAGGGTTGAGAAGAAAATGAAGAAGATTTTTATCACTTATCAGATTTTGGGCTTTATTTATTTTCCTCGCAAAAATTGGCATCAAGTGGGGACTTCAATTGGACTGCAAAAATTTGTTTCAAATGTTTTGCACAATTTCCCTCTAATTTGGATTGCAAAATTTGAATAAGAAAAATAAAAAAATGGGAGAGAGAGGAATGGCGAAATTGGAAAAGAGCAGATTAATGAGTTCTGTCGTGGTTTCAGTTTTTCTATGGTGTTTGCAGTTTTTCTCAGCGAGGGTTTTCATATGCTTCTCAAAAAAACTGCAAACGAAACTACAAAAGGAGATGCCAACGTGGTTTTTTAATTCCAAAAATAGTCTCAGGAATATATTAAATTACAAAAACTACCATTAGGGTTGAAACCCTAAAAATGCCACGTGTCACCATTTTAGGCCTATAGATTGTCTTTTTATATATATATAGATATGTCCGTATATATATACTATATATATATATATATATATATATATATTACAAACCTATAAAGATGTAGTGCGATGATGAATAGTAACTTAATAAACATTTTGATTTATTTTTCAAACAAAATCGCACGAAACGACGCCGTTTTAGGGGAAAATTTCCAGCGCAAAGCACAAATGCAATTTAATTTCGAATTATATTTAATGCTCTATTTATGGTCGGACCAAAAATCTCACCACTCGCACACTCACGCGCTACATACACGTCATTACCATTTCATTTAATTTTTCATTTTCTTTTACAAACTCCCACAAAACGGCATCGTTTTGCCTAGAAAACTCATCCCTCCTCACTTTCGGCCGCCGCCCTAATTTCTCCTCTGACGGGTTCATGCCCTGCTTTTCTATCGTCTGTCATCTCACTGTTGACGTTGTGCCAGAGGTAGGTTGTAGGTTAATTCTTTCTTCTCCTCTCACTTTGTTCTCTCTTGTTTTCTTTCTTCGTTATTCATTGTAGCGTTGTAGTTTTCCCCTTTCTCTCTAAAAAACGAGTTACATTGGATTTTGCTCTGTTCTCTATAGGTTTTCTTTCATACGCCTCTATGTTATCTTTCTTACGGTATTTTTGTATGTTTATTTTAATTTTTAGGTTATTGTTTAGTGAATTTAGGTATTTTTTTGCAGGAGCGATGCTTTTGTTTTCGTTTTCTATTGAATCTGAATGCCTTTGTTTTCGGCGTTCTCTGAATCCAGTTTTACTGCGTTAGTTTTGACAGGTTCGTGCCCTTCTTCCAATCATTTTATGGGGTGATACTTCGAAATGCTAATGGACGGTTTACTTCTCTTCTCTGATTGTATTTATGTATGTTTGCTTGTAATTTCAAATTTGTTTGCGTGTTTTGTGCATTTTTTTTTGCTTGATCTTTGTTTTATTCTTAATCCAAATTTTGTGGATTTGTTTTTGATTTTCTCCGATCCAGATTATGTACCTTTGTTTTTCGATTTTATCTGAATCCTGCTTTGGTGCCATTGTTTTTGTCAGGTTTTGGCTGTCTCTTTTATTACCATTTGGACGTGTCAGGTATATTTCTCTCCCTTTTTTGTATTATTCTTGATGCATTTGTGCATATAATTATGTGTATTTATCATGCAACTAAATCTGATATTGTATCTTGTTAGACTTATTTTCGCAAGTTAAATTTTGTGCTTGTTAAGTTGTTATGTTTATTTGTATTTTCAGTTTGGTTTTTTTCATTTACTGATATGGGCCTTTGTTTCCAATATTTATTTCATCTTTAACAGATATGCTTGAAATGCTAATGGAATGCCACTCAGATAAGCTCCTTGATTTCAGCAATGTGTGTTCTTGGGTAAATTTCTTTACCACCTCCTTGACAAGTAGTGATATATGTGCATTTTTAATCTCAGTGTGTACATGTTTGGTTTGTTTATTGATTATTGTTTATTGATAATTATCTTGTTGCTCATCAGCAAAGTATATCATATATACTTTTCTATGATATACTTTTTTATTTGTATCAGATACATGTGTCATTGTTTGTGGTTTGTTGTTGCCAGAAAATTCTAATTTCTAAAATATCTTTTATTGGTTTTGGTTATATTAGTTCGTAGATGTTTTTGATGTGTTGATTTATAACTTGATTTATTTGGTGCTTATACTCATACCTGACACCTTTGTTTTTTATTTGCAATTTTAGATTAACAATTAACAGAATCAAATACACGAAATGAAGCAGGTGATAACACTGGAAGGTGTAGCATCGTTAAGAAGGTAAACCGAACACTACTTCAGTAAATAGTAAATACGAAGGTTAAATTATTATTAGGAATCAAACGAGACCTAAAGATACCCGTAGTTCAAGTTAATTGGAAGCTGCTGAATAGAACATGACTCTTACGTCTTACTTGATGTTCAATTTTTACGTTCATGATATTTTTTTGAAGTTATATATTTGTGGAATTTTTACTTGATGTTCTCTTTTTCTTTCATTACTATTTCTGTTTTTGCTTTATTGCATTTACCACCCCTGCATTTGTTGTATTTACTTTAACTGTGACAAAGCTCCTCATATTTTAATTGTTAGCAAAAACTCCCCTATTGTGCATTTTTTTAGCAGACTACCCCTAAAAACACACCATTTAGGAGGTTGTGTGCTAAAAAATGCATCCTAGGGTTTTTTTTTTGTTAATATTTATAACAATCTCAAATTCTCAATGAGTATTTCAGCAAATTCAATATAATGCAGAGTACTAAATAAAATCTATTTCTATTTTTCAGTTAGATGTCCATTTCTCTTCTGAAATTTAACTAAAGTCTTTTGTTTTTATATAAGCAAATATATTACTATAGTTTTGTTTGGATGAATCATTTCACAATGAATTTATTAGAATTACGTCTCATTCTGAGCCTTTATTTGATTCATTATAGTGAATTTTGTATCTAATCTCATTCTGAGCTCTCGATTGAAACTTTTCGATTCAAACACATCTTAAGAAATGTTATGCTTACGAAGTTTTGATTAAATAACCATCTGCAGTTATAGTAGTTGTCCTAAATATAAAATAATCCTAATATTGTGCCTTATGAATTAATTATACAGGATGAAATTGAGTGGGCTGTAGTAGAACCACTGCATCTTAGTTGAGGAAGGTACACAGACAATGGAAGATATATTAGTCTCTTCTTTGGTACCAACCTAACTGATGTAGTTATTAAAGGTAAAATTTAAAAAAAATGATAGTTGTATGTATTGATATAATATAATTATCTTTGTCACAAGATTTTGTGGTATTTGAATTATTAAACTTTTACCTGATTTTTTTTCCAGGGGATAATGACACCAATAATGGGCAGGGTGAATCCTGGTGAAAGAATTTCCACAAGGGAGAATTACAGTAAACTAGAGTCTAGACCTTATTCAATTATAACACTTGTTAACTAACCATTATGGAATGTTCATCCTGTCTATAGCAGGTAATCATGCAAATATCTGTTTCAATACTTGATTTTTTATTTTATTAATGCATTGAGTTAGATTTTTTTTTGGACATTCTTTGAAAAGCTTTTTCGATTTTCTCTAAATCCAGTTTTGATGCCTTGGTGTTTGCCAGGTTCGATTTCTCTTATAACGTTTTCGAAGTGTGCAGGTGACTACAAATCGTCTTCCGCAAGATGACTTATGGGTATATTTCTCTATTTCTCTCCTTTTTGTTTTTTTCATTGTTACTGTATTTGTGTTTTATGTATGTGGATATATTATGCAATGATATCTGCTGGTTATGTATCTTGATGGTCTTATTTTCGCAAGTTAAATTGCATGTTTGTTATGTTTATTTGTACTCTCAAGTTTATTTTTTCACACATTGATATGGGCCATTGTTTCCTTCAGCTCCAGTTTTTTTCAACTTTTTATTTCCTCTTGAGCAGATATCCTTGAAAATGCTAATGGGGATGCCATTCAAAAAAGTACCTTGATTTCGGCAGTGTGTTTGGGTATATTTCTTTACAACCTCCTTGAAGTGCCCTGAAACATGTGTTTTTGTAATTACTATGCTTATAGGATTGGTTTGTTTTATTGATAATTATGTTTTTGTTTATAGGAGTTGGTTCCATGCAGCACTTGCTACTTGTCATTTAACTCTGCTTTTATTTTGTTGTTTCTGTCTGTTTCATGTATACTAGAGTATTGTTCTCGTTTGTAAAACAATCGAATTAATTCAGCTATACATCAGCTATACAGGGCATTATATACCGCGCGTGGCGCGGTGTGGCCTCACTAGTATATATATATATATATATATATATATATATATATATATATATATATATATATATATATATATATATATCAATAATAATCGGACAAATTCGGAAAAAATCGCAAATAATCGGAATAATTTTGGATCGGAAATCGGAAATTCCAAATTTCTGTTATGTATTTCCGATTCCGATCGAATTTTTTTCGGAAATTTTGGAAATCGGAATTTCGGAATTGAAAAAATCGTTCCAAAATCGGAATTTTCGTTCCAATTTCCAAAAATTACACCTAACCCTCCAATTCAACAAAAAATACATAAACCTTGTGATTTAAGAGAATGGCAAAAATATCTCTCTCTTTTTTTTTTTTTTTTTAAATTTTAAATCCTTAATTTTTTGGCAAATTACAGCCACCCTGAGCTATGCTCAAATTATGCAAAAACCTTAGACAATACATAGATGAGAGGGTGGTTGTAATTATCTAAACATGAGGGTTTTTTTTCATAATTTGAGTATACCTCACGGGGTTGGCTGTAATTTACCCTATTTTTTGGTCGATCGCACACTTATGTTCTCGAAGTTTTTTTTTTTTTTTTTTTTTTATATAAATGAAAGTGGTCACTAGGTTCCTCGATTCCTCTTCTAATGTCTCGAACACATGACCAAATAGTTATAGGTGCAAGGTGTTTACCAACGAGCTACCTTGTATTGACAACGATACTTTGAAAACCTTTTAACACCAATATTATTAGGAATTTAGAACACAACACCAGAAAAAAAAAAAAAAATTTGAAATTCCATTTTTACCCTTCACTAAACATTGAGTAACTTACATTGTTATCATATGAAAATAAAAACATATTTGAGCATGGCCCATATTTATTTACTATTATAATTTGGTTGAACAAACATTCCAAATGTCCAATTGAGTAGAAACACAAAATTAGAGATTGCACCTCGTGCCTATGTCTCTAGGTATTTTTTTTTTATAATTACATTTGAAATTAAAAAAATAAAATTAATTAATTAATTTTTTTTTGATCCATGTGATTGCAATCGTGCACAAAATGGAGCCCCATTTGGATAAATACAAGAAAATAGCACGTGCAAAATAAAATGGCTAAGTCTATGAGTAACATGGTTTTGTACCCTTCAAATATAAACTACCACATGCCTATGGAGTAAATGAACATGCCAAAATGGGCATATACTTCTTCAAATAAACATAACCATGATCCAATGAAAGTGACTATTACACATATTTATTCATTAATATGTAAATAATTTTAATGTAATTTTTTTTTATAATTTAGGAATTTGGAATTGAGTGGTAACAATTTAGAATGTTTTGTGTAATATACTTGCATGCAATTTTTTTCGTGCTGCGGTATGTTTTGCTTAGTAGCTTTCGATTACTTATGTTGGATTAGTTTGATTTAGTTAATAACATGTTCGGTTTGTTTAGTTCTCGTATTGAATCAGTTAAATTCTGATATTATACTGAGTTTGTCTATAAAACCTCTTATTTGATAATAACTAGCATTTTGCCCCGTGCGATGCGTGCGATGCACGGGATCGTATTTTAAAAGTGATAAAAAATGATCAATTTAATACATAAAAAAATATAATACACTAATATAGTAAAATTTAAGAAAATAGTACTATTCATATTTTATATAATATTAGTTTTTTTACATTAGTAAGATTTATAATCCAAACAAATAGGTTAAGATTTAACAAATCAAATTTCTTTCTTTATCACTTAAGATTTGACTTTTGAGATATATTCATGAAAAATAGAAGATTGAAGCCGAAATTAAAGGATTCTTCACGATTCAGTGTCAATTTTGATTTGTTGAAAAATATAGGTAGAAAACTACAAAAAAAATATTTAAAATAAATAATTACAGAAATGTCATTAGGGTTTCTTAGGGTTGCCCAACGTTTCTTTCTTTTAAATATAAGATAAATTATCATTTGAAGGATAAAATTGTCTTTATATATAACATTTCAATTAATTATAAATTACATTGAAGACAATTAACGAGATGGAATAAGTGTAGGCCATAGGGTCAACGGACGTACTAGGTTGATTAAGCAATGGGCCTATGGCTACTAAGCCTTAAACTTTTATTAAGTCGAAAAAATAAAATATTTATTTATATATAATAATATATTTATGACTTAGGAGGTCTCAAATCTATTAGGGATAATGGTATTTTGCCCCCCAAAACTATCGTGCATTCTGCACATTACCCCCTAGTACAATTTTTTGTTTGCACGGTGTCTTAATTTTGCCACCAAAAATACATATGTCCATATCTCGTCGGAATCTGACGCACATGAGCTTTGTTTAACGTAAAACCGTCAATTCAAAATTTGACTCATAACTTCCACTTATTGAACAGGGCAGCGAGTCAGATTTCAATTGAATTTAAGTTCTTACCGTCACAAAACTCACGTGAATTTACTGGTGCTTCAAATTACGGTGAGCTTTTGAACAATATTGGCAAATTTAAGTCACCGTGCAAACATTTAGCAAGTTCAGACGAAAACTTGTAAAGCTGAAATCGCGCTATTTTTTCTTCTTCTTCTTCCCTTTTTTTTTTTTTTTTTTTTATTTTGGATTTCTATAGTTACATTTTCTTTAATATATATTTATTTTAAAATTTGGATTGAATTTGTATAGTTAGACAATTAGTCAAATGAATGCGCGTGGTAACGTTAGCCCACTTTTAGTGGCTTTATCGACAGTATCATACCTAGAGATTATATTTTGTCTCGTTTAGGAAAAACACTAACCTTTCTCATTCATAAAATTGCTCTCCCTATTTGGTCAAAAGGTCAAATAAAAAATATTAAAAATTAAAAAAAAAATTAAAAGAAAAAAAAGTAAGTAGTGAGAAGCAGCTGTTTAATTTTCTGGTGAAAATTTTGACATAAAGCTACTAATTTACAAAAGACTTGTTCCTCTATATTAGACCATGAATTCACCCCCTTTTTCATTATGGCCCCCTTTTTTTTCTTAAACATATTCACATTTTACCATTTTCGAGAAACGGTTGGAGCAAGTGAGATTATGACAATTGGTCCAAATTGCAAAGTCGAGCATATCACACACGGTTAACGTAATGTGATTTAATTTTTCGATTTACAAACTGTTATACGAGAGTTTTGGTGTTTACGTACCCACTGCATATCACTTACCTACAAAAGGGTTTCATTGCAAAATATTAATAACTATACTAAATGTCTCTTTTATATAGTAAATTAAGTTTCTATGGTTTACAAAGAAAATGCACGAGTATATTTGCATTTTGCACCAAATTCTTCGTGTTTCGATGATTTTATTTTACGTAAAATTCTCCTCTGTTTTATCGACTGCCGCATCTACCAAAGCTTTAGTCTCATCGGGTTCGTTTTCCTCTACACGTGACATCCGATCCTCTTATAATTAACTACCTTAATTATTAACATAAAACAATAAAATAAAAATTCGAATCAAGAAGAATGAACACAGAGATGAATTAAAGTGCAATAATTCTCTCAAATGAACTAAAAAACGGAATTAAAGCATGGAATAATTAATTGATGACAAATTAAACTCCCACAACTCTGTTCGGGCCGGGCCAGCTACTTACAGAATCATCGGCACACCAACGTTGTTCGTAACAAATATTCGTCAGAAACATGAAGAATTTGTGGAATTAAAATTAAATTAAAAAAAAAAACAGAGATAGTGGTAAAAAATGATCAATTATTATCCATGAAAGAAGAACAGAGCTCAACGGAACCATAATCGAGCAACTCTTGAATCATCTGCTCAATGTGTTCGTCGTCTTCTTCGACCGATCCGTTGTACTTCTCTCCGGCGACGATATTAATATTATTCCGATGATCGCCGGTGTTCATCATGACGTTGTAGTTAATATTGTTGTTGTTCGCGCCGTTTTGATCGAAACTCGGTGGGGCGGGTTGATGGTGTCCGTTCGTCGTCGAGGAGAAGGCAACGGGGGGTGGTTGTTTCTTGGCGGCCGCCATTTTCAGGGACGCCACGTGGCACTTCTGCAGCTTGGCCATGAGCGTGGCCGACAGAAGCCTCGCCGACGGCGACTGGGGCTCGTGCGGGTTGTAGGTGAAGTTCGTCCTGGCGCGTGGCCCGCACATGATCCTCGCCGCCTCGTCGTACGCCGTCGCCGCGTCCTCCGCCGTCTCGAATGTGCCCAGCCATATTCTCGTCTTTCTGAAAGCAAGAAAACATATATACAAGTTATTACATACATATATATATATATACACGAATTTTGCAGGCATAAGGTGGCGGAATTATGAGGGAGATGGAGGAGGAGCTTGCTTACAGCAAAGGGTGGCGAATTTCGGAGACCCAAGAACCCCAGTGGCGCTGGCGTACGCCGCGGTAGCGTTGCTGCGGTCTGGCCATGGCGGCGGCGGCGGTGGTGGTGGACGCTTTTAAAGTGTTTGTGAAAATGTCTGAGAGAGAATTGTGACAATGTATTGTGGCGGTGCAGGGATTGTTTACACGGAGAGGGAAGCAGAGCAGAGCGCGTGAGGGGGAGTGGTTATGTAAGTAAGCATACTTTGCGGCCTTCATCTGCCAATTTAAAGTGTATATGAGAGTGGGCCCCACATTATTTATTTATTTATTTATTTTTCTTTTTCCTTTCCAACGAAAGTGATATTTATTATTTAAAAATCTATATGTATAAACATTAAATAACTTATCTTTTTTGTTTACAATTTCATTTTATGGAAATTATCACTTACTATAAGTACACTATATAAATAAGTATCCTTCTTTAAATATACACTACTGACATTTTTTCTCCATTCACGGGATATTATTTCAAAAGTGAAAAAGAATAATCAATTTAATATAAAAAAAATAGTACACTAACATAGAAAAAATTAAGGTCTCAAAAAAAAAAACATAGAAAATTTAATAATGTAGTATTATAAATGTTACATATTAAGATTTAACAAATCGAATTTCTATCTTTATCTCTTAAGATTTTAGATATATTGATGTAGTTAGAAAATTAGTAGAAAACAAAAATATTAAAATTAAATAATTATAAATGTATAATTAGGATACGATTCTTCACGGTTTAGATTCAATATTAATAATTGTTGAAAATTATAGTTAGAAATTAGTAGAAAAAAAATATTAAAAAAATAATTATAGAAATACCATTAGGATTTTTAGGGTTGCCCAGCAACGTTTCTTTCTTTTATATATAAGATAAGATACATATTTATATATAATGAAAATTTAAAAAAAAAAAGTTAGTGGCATAAAATAAAATACAATTGCCACATGATTTGATCATCTAATGATAATTTGTTTATATTGTCGCAATAGTCATGCCAATGCTACATTTTTTGTAGTGTAAATCGATCATTAGAAGCTCGTTTGAGCACCGTATGTTAATTTTCTAGGTTTAATTTGAACATATGTTTTTATTAAATGAGTTATGAAGCTCTAGGGAGTTCAAACTCGATTCAAACTCAGTTCATCTTCAATAATAACTTAATCAAAGTGAAAAATGTAAGTTTGAAAGTTCAATCGAAATCGAAATAAGCTCGAACAACTCGATTTATTTACACTTAAATTAAAAAAAAATGAATCTTTGTTGTAAGGTGGATGATGAAATGTATATTTATGGGAAATAAGGATTCTTAACAAGGGGGGATGGATTCACAATTTTTATATGTATATAAAATATATAAAAACAGTAGAAGACATGGAGATTTTTGTATGTACAATATTATTATATAATTTATATTATTGAATAAAGATAATTGAGGACAATACATATGTGGGGGTGGTGATCACAATTCACAACAACATATGATATTTCACAATTTTACTAAACAAGGAAAAACCTGCCCATGTGCCCCCAATTTGACTCTTACACTTTATTATAATATATATAATAGGGTAAATTACAAACACCCCCTGAGGTATGGTCAAATTACAAAAACACCCCTCTTGTTTGGATAATTACAACCACCCCCTCAACTCATCAAATTTAGTGGAATCTTCGAGATTATATGGAATATTATCACTTTTGTACCCGTTTTATCCCATTCAAACTCTACATTATGAATCAAGATGTTCATAATATGTGATTTTTAGCTTGTATATATCAGTTTGTGGTGCATCGGAAACAGTATTTTTTACACAAAAAGAGTACAAACTAGAGCACATTTCACGGAATCTAGATGACTATGTTGAATTTGGCACCATAAAGGTGGAGGTCTAAGAAAAAATCATAGTTGAGGGGGGTAGATGTAATTATCCAAACAAGAGGGGTTTTTTTATAATTTGACCATACCTCAGGGGGGTGTTTGTAATTTACCCTATATAATATATATAAGAAAATGTTGCACTAATAATCGGAAACGGAACTACGTCGGGACTGCAATTAAATCTCTATAAATTAATATAATCGGAGTTATCAGAATTGTATTAAATTAGAGAATGTAAGTTAACGAACTAATAATTTAGTATATCTTTATCGAATCGGGACTGAGCGATGTTATTAATTTATCGAGCTGATTTAAAAAATAATAATAATAAATATTTGTGTGAGTGATGACTAATGAGCTCCCCTGGTCATGGGATTTTTGTTTGGTTATGGCTGCAATATTTGACCGTTATTTTCCAATAATAGATAGATTGCACAAAATCCAATGTTGCTACCAAATTATTAATTATCATGTTGACATAGATTTTATTGCTACCCTTCATTCACTCCTATGATTAGGTCATTTCTAACATGGATTTTGAAGCTAACAACTAGTTATATATACGCAGCCAATTATATTGGTGCACTGGATAAATATATATTGTGTATAATAATTTACAAATTATATAAGAGACGTAAACTGCACAAAGTTAATTACGTGTGACAAATTAGGCTTAACGACAATTGGCAAGAGAATTCAAACTTTGGTTAATCGATAAAACAGAAAATTTAAGTGAGCAATATGAAATATATCGTTTATTCATTTCAAAAGTTGTAAATGACTAATAAAAGTTGCAAAATCGTAGTAAAATGGAAATCGTTACGTAGTAACACGAAATAATTTATTAATTTGTCTTTTATATATTAATTATTAATTTGATTATTTTCTATGTGAAACAAAAATAGAATAATGGAAAGATTGCGCGTGCTTTTGATAATAATCACAAATATGGAGGATGGATAAATTGCAATGTGTTCACTTTATTCACATTTCGCTCAATTACTTTGTGGGGCCTATTCTTATGTTATTTACATCATTCGTCCTCCATTCATGTTTTATTTTTCCCCTCATCCAATTTTTATTTTATATAAGTATTGGATATTGGATTTTAACGTGATATGCATGCATCGATCTATATAGTTTGATACTTTGATTAGAAGTTAGAACATAATACTTTTATTATTATATATAGGGTAAATTACAAACACCCCCTGAGGTTTGGTCAATTTACGAAAAAACTCCTCTTGTTTGGATAATTACATCTACCCCCTCAACTATGATTTTTTTCTTACACCTCCAATCTTATGGTGTTAAGTTCAACATAATAATCTAGATTTCGTGGAATGTACTCTAGTTTGTTCTCTTTTTGTGTAGAAATATAGTTTCTGATGCATCACAATCTGATATACACAAGTCAAAAAACACTTATTATGATCATCTTGCTTCAAAATGTATAGTTCGAGTGGAATAATACGGGTACAAAAGTGATAGTATTCCATATAATCTCGAAGATTCCACTAAATTTGAGGAGTTGAGGGGGTTGTTGTAATTATCCAAACAAGAGAGGAATTTTCGTAATTTGACCATCCCTCATGAGGGTGTTTGTAATTTACCCTTTTATATATATATATATATATATATATATATATATATATATATATATATATATATATATATATATATATATATATATATATATATATATATATATATATATATATATATATATATATATATATATATATATATATATATATATATATATATATATATATATATATATATATATATATATATAAATATATATATATATTTATATAAATATTAATATATAAAAATAAATATTTATATATATAAAAAAATATATATATATATATTAATTTATTACTCTCTCTCTCTTACTCTTTCTCTCTCTCTCACTTTATATATTTTTTTTTTTCTTTATATTTTTATTTTTTATATTTTTTTTATTTATATTTAAATATATAAATATATATATATATAAATAAAT